CCTGAACCCCTAAACCCTGAAACCCTGAACCCTGAACCCTAAACCCCTAACCAAACTCCCTTTTGAGGCTCCTCTTAAGGGTTCCTTTACCCCAAGGGTTGCTTTTTGGGTTCCCTTAAAAGGATCCGCAAGGGTCCTAAACCCTAAACCCTAAACCCTAAACCCTAAACCCTAAACCCTAAACCCTAAACCTTGGAGGCACCCTCTTAGGGGTTCCTGTACCTCAAGGGCCCACGTACCCAAATAGTATGTACTTTCTATATAGGGTAATCTAGGGTTCCTTTAAGGACCTCTTTAAGGGTTTCTTTGAAGGGATCTATAAGGGTTCTATAAGGTTTGGGGCTTGTGTACCCCAAATGTATATACTTTGGCCTTAAAGCAGTCCCAAATTTGGGGGGGCCGATTTATATATATATATATATACATACATATATACATATATACATATATATATATATACATATACATATATATGAATACATGGACCCTTAGGGTTAAGGACCCTGATGCTAGGAACTCGGCTAGAATCCCCAAATAACAAAAACTGCCTTGGTTTTCGCGCCTCAATATTGGGATCTCCTTCTTTAGGGTTTAGGGTTTAGGGTTTCTTCAAATCCCGAATGTTGACACGTGTTTTACGACCCCTTCGTCAGGGCCCTCGTATTCAGATCTCTTTTGTAATCAGTTTTGGGTAAGTACGGGAGTGGTAATCAACAAGGCCGGAGGCACAAGGGTTGTAATTAGAATAGGGTTGAGGGGTATATTATACTATAAATATAATAGGAGCCCCAAAATCCTGTTCTAATTATTAAGGCCCTTACATTAGGATTTCGGGTAATAGAACTTGATGGACGGCTCTACAAGGCTGACGGTACAGGGCTTTTTTTCAGATTCAGGGCTTGCCTTCACCTGTAAGATCTTTCTCTTTAAGGTCGCTTGCTCGCAGTTCCTTATATAGACAGATGGACAGATAGATAGATAGAAAGATAGGGAAATAGAAAGACAAACAGATAGATAGATGGATAGATGGATAAATCGAGGAAAGGTAGGTTTAGAGCCAAGCTCAATACAGACCCCAGAACCTAGACCGAGTCAAGAACCCAGCAAAATCGCCCAGGCACTTAATCCTAAATCCCTTGCATATAGGGTAAAGGGTTTCGGGCTTTCCACGGCTTAGGGCTTCTAGGGTTCAAGGTTTCAGGTTTCAAGGTTTAATTAGGCTCTAGGGTAGCGCAGCAGCCGGACGACCTCAACCCAAAAGTGGACAAGTTAGGAGCTTGGGCTTAGGGTTTAGGGTTTAGGCACAAGCGGCATCTTTCTGAGAAGCTCCTCGGCTTAGTAAACTCACCGCCGGCTGCCATTGCGCACTTCGCTCCTTGACGCAAAAAGGTTTATGTGGCAAAGAAGTGGGTGGTTCTTTAAGTTAGGGTCCCTTGCTGAATCCCCAATATAGTACGGCACCCTTATACAAAGGACCCTAAAAGGGACCCTGATTTAGAGAACTACCCAAGTGCCTTCCCCACCTCCCCTCGGTAAACACATGCCTTATTCTGAGAGGCTGAGTACCCTGGCACAAAACAGGTTAACTAACATGTTTAAGGCTCTGAAAATTCGCATATACATAGCAGGATCACGCGGCTCAATTTCCATAAGCAGATCGGACATAGCAGAGTCGCGACAAATTCTGTATCTGCAATGTTTTGCAAAGCGTAGACAGCTGACCATGCTAAACGATGAGCATACTTCCGAATGAAAACAAGCTGCTTAATAGCCAAGCATCGTAAGCACGCAAGAGGGAGTTTGCGACCTCAGTGGCATAAGGCCCAAGTATCTGTTTAACTTTCAGCTCTAGACGAATATATTACATATCCCGAGGAGTGTCAAGTATGCTCATTGCGCTACCAAGCAACAGCAACGGTTGGAACCATCCGGGAGGCCGAAATCCGATTGAAGATGGCGACAGCCTGATGCCACATCTCCGACTTCGCGCAGGCAGCGATGCTGCTGGTGCAGCTGAAGGCGCCAAAGCTCCTTTTAGGGTTTAGGGTTTAGGGTTTGGCACGCTTGCGACAAAGTCGAAGGTGCCCTAGACGCTAAACACTAAACCCTTGAACCCTAGGGTGCAAAGTCTGCCTATAACCTCTTGCTTGCCACGTCCTTATGAGCCTCTGCGAAGGGCTATATGCTTTGGGCTTCGGGGTGGGCCATGGTAAATTACGAAAATCAGACGGGATCCGTAGAGGAAGGATCTGACTAGACTCTAGACCTTAAAGCCCTGGGCGGGCCCAGGAAAGGGTTTAGGGTCTACCTATAGTCTTCGTTGTGGTTACTTTGTAGTTCCTTTTGGTTTGACCAATTATATATTAAGGAACTTACAACCCAAAAAGGAACTCCAATGGAGACTATAGCTAGGGTTTAGGGGGAAGCCGCGAGTCGAGACCTCCTTACTCTCAGGGTCGATAGGGGTTTAGGGTTTAGGGGTTCAGGGCCTATTGCGTGTTCACGAACTCCACATCCCAGGCTAATGCAGGGGCCTTAATAATTAGAATAGGGCTCTAAACCCTAAACCCTAAACCCCAAACCCTAAACCCAAATTGGGGTATGTCATAATTACTATATAAGGAACCCCCCCAGAAAAGTGCAGGCAACTAGTAAGGCCCCTATGTAAGACTGCCGAGACGCGGTGCTCCATCTTCGAGAACCCCTAAACCCTAAACCCTAAACCCTAAACCCTAAACCCACATATATATATATATAGATATATAACTGCCGAGACGCGGTGCTCCATCTTCGAGGGACAGCAAGTCCAAAGCAACCCGCCAGTAGCTACGCCGCTCGCACGCACTGATGGCACCTGGGTTTAGGGTTTAGGGTTTAGGGTTTGGGGTTTAGGGTTTAGGGTTTAGGCTCGCACGCACTGATGGCACCTGGGCCACGGAGTGGGCAGAGATATGGCTGATGGCATAAATACTGCATGACCCCATAATAGGGAATATACGAAAATTCCCATAGTTTTAGGGTCGTGAAGGTAATGCAGGATTTATATCTACAACAGTATGGCACATCCACAAGTCATAAACCAAGTAAACCCAGCGAAATCCTGCAAACCCAATCACACAATCAGAGCAATGATGCACAACAAATAACCTTACATGCTCAGCCCTAGTCCAACCTGAATACCGGTAACCGTATCCTTGGAGGAAAGAACCAAAAGACAAGTAACATTCTGACTGGCCGAAAGAACGGCGAGCATGGCAGTAAACCTGTAGCAAGGTCACAAACACAGACGGTACAGATAAACTTCCTTCCACTATGGAATCAGGTCGCGAAGGCATCATAGAGACGGTCGGTTGAAGCACTTAAAGTTTCATACTGGCAATACAAAACACAATTCGACTGCTTGCTCCGTTAAAAACCAATAAACACAACTGCAACAATAACATTAAGTTTATAGCCCGAGCACCAGTCTCAGCCCTACCCTTCCAGAACGCCCTAAACACCCATTTCCTTATTACAAAACCCTAGGTTCAGGTCGGGTAGCCACTGAAGCTCACGGCATCCGTGCGAAGAAGATGGCTGGAAAACTCTGCGAGGAGCTGCAGAGCACCCTGCCACTCACTGCGCCTCGCAGGCTTTTGGCGGACTAGGGCTGTTTAGGGCTTGGTTTGGGGTTGTGTTGTTTTCGTTTGCGCATTGGCCTTGGATTTTAGGTTAACCCTAAACCGCATTGGCCTTGGTTTTTAGGTTGGCGTAGTTTACACCTCGCCCGGCCCTACTGGTCCCTCAATTAAACTACCTCGGCCGACGACAACTTAGACTCTGAGCCCTTAATCGCCTGAGCCTTACCTATAGTGGAAACCTTATACAATCCTTGATATAGAATTGGTTAAGCCAAAAAGAAGAACAGCAATGGAGACTATAGGTAACAGCCTAAACCCTGAGCCTGGGTAGTCGTAAAACCGTGAGCTCACCAAGGAAACCAATCTGTGCATTTTTGATGTTGGCTCGACAACTCGCTTCCCCATTAGTCGAACATTTCGCGTGTTTCTGTGATTGGCCGATGTTCACAAGATCGACAACCCCCAAACCCTGTACTTTAAATCCAAAGCCTAAACCGTGGCTCGCCAAGGTGACGGGGTGGCAATCCTAATCCCTAACCCCTAAAAGAAAGAACTCCTCAGCCCACAGGAGGGTAATATAGGAGCCTTCATAATTAGAATAGAGTTTTGGGGTCCTGTATAGTATAATTATAATAAGAAACCCCCCCAAAATAGTATAGGTAATTATTTAGGCCTCTCCGTAGCCCTAAACCCTAAACCCTCAACTCGTATGCCCAGAGGAGGGTACGAAGCCTTTCTCCAAAATTGCAGAGCAAGGCTTCCGGATTCTCAGGGCCGTCCTGGCCGCCTAGACCCTCAACTCTTCAACCCTGCTTCTGCCTTTAAAGTTTAGGGTTTAGGGTTTATGGTTCTAGGGTTTAGAGTTTAGGGTTTAGGGTTTAAGGTTTAGGGTTTATTTTAAGGAACACATCGAACCTCAAAGACCCGACTTTCCTGTGCCCAGGCCTTTTGCAGTCGAGAATTCCTCTGTTGGACAGCTCTGGCACACGCGGTCGGGTAAAGTGGATGGCTGCCGTAGTGATGACAGCATCTGCCGGCCCCTGTTTTGTTCTTTTGTTCGGGTTGGGGTAGGTTCAGGGTCTAACGTTTGGGGTCTAGGGCGTGTGGCAGGGGGTTTACTTTCGGTAAAGTTTAAAGTTTTTAAAAATGACATAGCTGCTCACGTGTCAGTCGATGTTTTATATAACTGCACAAAAAATGCCTTGACGCACACAAGCTGGAAAGCCGCCCATCAACTCCAACCCCGAACCCAACATGCGAAATTCTACACCCTAAACCAACTCCTCAAGACTCCACTTCTCGTGCATGCGAGCCTTCAGCTTCGTGGGAAGCACAGGCGCGGCTTAAATCTCTGCAGGCATAGCTACAGTCCTCCTGCCCCTGTGGGCTGGGCACTCTGCTGTCCTATTCCCTGATCAGAAATCCAGCGTTCAGGACCTCTCTGCTGACTTCGTGTTTAGGACATGGAGGTTCGAGATGTGTTCGAGGCCATCTGCGAAAGCCGCATATGGAAGTTAAAGTGTAGGACCTGTAAAGCCCAAATGCCCTCAACCCCCGACAACCCTAAACCCTAAACCCTGAGCCCTTATATCTAAGGACTGATCTGTGCCGGAGTGCTCCGAGGCAGTCATCCCAAAAGCAGCCAGCTTCTGGAGTTTCGTGTGTACGGGCTTGGCGTGTCCAGGGTTGGTTTAGGGTTTAGGGCTCCCAGGATTTAGGATTCGGGCTTCATGGGGACGATTCGTAAGTAGACTACTGAGATATACGCAAACAGGATACTAACCGTAAGCTATCATAACCTGCTGAATGTATAGGGGCTCTACAGACATTGGTAGTTCAATGTCATGTACAGTAGGTCTGACCATCTCTGCCCACCAAGAGCCTACGCCTCCGACTCTGAAGCCTACCCTAAACCCCTAAACCCCTAAACCCCTAAACCCTAAACCCTAAACCCAAAACCCTAAACCCCTAACCCCTAACCCCTAACCCCAAAACCCCTAAACCGTAACCTCGGCGCTTATCCGCCCACTGAGAGAGCCACCGCTGCTCCAAGCTGTGTGTCCTGCATCGAGACACAAGTACACATAGCAAGCATGCGGTTCGAACATCACTGTGTCCCAAGCCCCATGCCGAACAAGACCGTCAACAGTCAACACCAATCACTTCCCTGCGCATCCTGCCTTCTGACGCGAAAGCACTAGCCAATGTTGTGCTGCCGACAGTACTCCACGACATGAGCAGCAAGCTCGGCTTGATCACCAAGATCCGCTGGATCGCGAGAGGGAACCTAACTTGCGAGGGCAAACTGCTGAAGCAAAGGCTATAGGCTGTTACTACGAGTCGCCGTTCGCACGTGTCGTAAGCGAAGCTCCTCCTCAGTCTCGGCTGGCGCTGGGACCATTTGCGTTCCTCACGTCAAACGACAACACATTGCGGTAGCCATTGAAGCCTACAAAACAAAGCTAGCCAACAGGGTCCTGCATACACCCATTGGTGGAGGCGCTTTATCACAGTGGCTTCATCTGGTTGGTTGAGTTGCATGCTCTTAGAGCATCGGTGTACGGTGCCGTCAGAATCTTTGTAGGTGTGGATTGGGCAATTAACGAACATTGCCGGCACCCCATGGATGTGTCTTCTGACGATGGCGAACGGGCCAATGTGTATGGTACTGGGATCGTAAAGGCTGCTCGAAGGCCCTGCCGCAACCTCAGCTGACTGTCGCCGTCGCTGTTTGGCCCGTGGGGGCTCCGGAGCCCGCGCAGACGGCGCGGGTGCACCGTCGTCATCGTCGTGGTCTGACGACAGGCCAGACACATCGCCTGCTGCAATCCTCCTGGCAACCTCCGCTCGGACAGAAGCGGGAGTGGATGGGCTTCGCCCGCTGTCGGACTCATCAACATCGCCTGCATTTCATTGTGGCTTTTCATGCACTAATCCTATAGCCAAAGAATGAAAGGTCGCAGTCGCAGTCCTATACCCCTACACTGCTTACTTTGGAGAATGTCCAAGCTGCCAGGCAACCAACTCAAAAAGACGCATTGCGACATGGTGTGCCGGGCCTATGCAGGGGGCGGAGACACCGGCAGCACCTGAATCAGTCGACCAAGCTGCCGCAAGCAAAGTGGCTCAACCGTGCCAGACTGCCAGGCCTTCGTGTACATCTGCGGCACCCGCACCTTCGCACATCGTTCACAGGTGCCCGTTAAGTTATCTCACACTCCCATCACTCCAGACAGCACAACAACTCTGTCAATCTTCGGTGGCTGGTGCAGTCACGGGACTCTCGTTGCCATCGTCCATAATCATTTCCGGGATGCGGTCGTCACGGTTGTCGCCTAACATGATGCATTTCGATTTGAACTGTCAAGACTTCTCAAGAAGTCTCCCACCAGAAAACGTAGCATGCTACACTGCTATCTCGTGACCTGTCTCGGGCTTCTTTCTCTTCTGTCCGCGACCGCGGCCGAAGTAGCCGCGGCCACCTCTCCGACCTCTCCCGTTTCTCCCACGAACTCGCTGGGAAGAGCGGCCACCTCTGCCACGAAATCTGTTGTTACGAGGACGTTGGTCTTCGAGCAGAAAATTGATGTCTCCTTGACACACAACGTAGAGTTACACTGCTATGCTACATCCTTACACATACACATACAACGATGTTTGAGAGGACTTGTTCTCCGGTGATAAACTCAACTCAAAAACTGCTGATTGGCTGTCCTCCTACATCTTCTGCAGGGGATGGAGCTGCCCCTGCTGTCGGCAAGCCCAGTAGGCGTCGGTAAGCTGTTGTGTTGAGATTGGGGCCTGTACGTGCTGCTTGCGCAGCGTCGCATTCCAACAAACATCTGTAGTACAACTGGGGCTGGAAGTGGTGGATTGCCCGCACGCCTTTGGCGAAAATCTCATCTGCCTGGATCAAACATCGCAAGTATAACCGGCTGATGGTAGCAGAGCTTGTGTCGTAGTACGCAATTTTGGGCCCGTCGACAACGTAGGGATCCACGCGTTTCTTTGAGGCCTTCCCAACTTCCTGCCAACCACCTTGCAGGAGGATCAGCAGCAACTCAAACACAGTGTTTTCGTCCAGCTGGCCCCGCGCACGGGCTTTCGACATGTATTCACAAATGGGTGTCGGGCCACTGTAAAGCTGCGCCACACAAAGGCCTTCTGTTGCATGGCTTGTGGAAGCAATTCTGCCCGAGGCTTCATCTGTGAAACACGCCAGCCCCTTCATTTGAAGCTGGCGAAAAGCATCTCGCTGCTCATCATCTTGCAGGAAAAAATATTTGTGTGGCAGCGCCTGCGCCACACCTCCTTGCAGCAAAGCAGTCAACAGCTCATAAGCCGGAGCCGTCCTTGTAGCGTGCAGCATCTACTGGAAAGCTGTTTATTTAAGAATGTTCAGTTCACAAACCAACAAGCAACAAAAGCACACGAAAACACACAAGCAAATCCGGCGTGAGAAGCAACCCCTGCCCAGGTCGAGGTAAAAACTTCACGCCTTTGCCCAGGGCCCACACGTGTAGGCTTGCGGCAAGAACATCGAAAGTGTGTTGCCTCAAGGTCAGTGCCATTGGGGCTCCCAGGGGAGCCAAGTGAATTGCCCACTGATCACCATCACCGCGCTGGTCAATCTCAACAGGTAAGTAGCACTGCACCATAAAATCAAACTGCCGCAGAGGCGTGCCGGTGATCACATGCCTGTCCATGGCTCCAGAAGAAATCCTGAAGAACGAATGATCTCGAAAAGCTGGGGCAAGCTCCAAGCCTTTGGCAAAGTGCCGAGCGGCATCGTCTTGAAACAAATGTGCCGCGGGAACAATGTCGTGCCCGGGCAAGGCAAGCACGTCGCTGCTGCTGCCTACGGCGGTTGAATCCAGGACACTGTCAGCGTCTTCCAACTCCATGTCACCGATATTCTGCTCAGCCAGTGACCGGTGTGGGCTCACAAGCTGCTGCACCGGCTGACACTTGTCTCCAAAGACAGTCGCAGGCATAGAGAACATGACTTGATCCCGCTGCCCGACCTGTGAAACAAGAGAATCAAGAGAATGCCACAGGACAACGATTGATTCGTAACGCTTGTTAGCCGACATCCTAGCCAAACCAGGGGCCTCTTGCAAGTGGGACAGCAGAGCTCTGGCCAGGGGGTCATTTGCAGCTGGCGTGAGCTCGAGTAGTCCGCTTTCCCGGTCTGCCTGCACTTGCCGCATCTCGTCTGCCAGTTTGGCAGAGTCGAGTTCATCTTGCAGCCGTTTCCGAGCAGCGTGCTTGAGGCGAAGGTTGTCACGGTAAAGCATTGACGCGAGCTCCCTTGCGTTGAGCTGTTCCAAATAGGGGCTCGTTTCCAGGTGCAAAAGCTTCCTTACTCCAATCATGAGGACCATGCTGACCCAAGCGCACGCAAACATGCTGTGCTTCAACATGACTGTCAGATTGTCATCGAGCTTTCAGTAAGTCTCACACAGGACCAGCTTCCTGAAGCCCCGTTCCCTTACCGACTCGGCGACGAGCGGGTCAATCTCCAGTCCTCGAAGTGCCTTGGTTGCTCGCGATGATGCGGCAATGCGATTCGAATATGTGACACGAGCCGAGGCGCAGCGGGCTGGTAGAGAGCAAGATGTGTCATCTGTTTCAGCCGCAGTTCGTATGACACATACGGAACTTTACAAGCGGGGCTTCGCCGGATGACCTTGCTGATCTGGCTGTGCAGCCCCTCTACAGAGCGGGTTACCACGCGAACCTCGGGTGCTTTCGCAGTGGCTCGCAGCGAGCGAAACATCAATAGTTTATGGCCAGCTCGACAAACCCCAGAAAATCTTACACAGTGGCTCCCCACCCAGGCGCGTGTCTCATTGCTGCCAGCCACGAAAGCAGGGAGGCTACAGCCGTGGAATCCGGAGCGGAGGCGTGGATCTGCAAGACAGACTCGCCGTGAGCCAAGCGCTGGACAAAGCCTCGCAAAGGTGGATCGGAGAGGTCTGGCGCTTCCCCAGTACCACTCAGGCCATACCATTCTTCGCTCAAGAACCTTTGGCTTTGAGCGTGAAGCCTCCCTCTGCCACCCTGCGCCCACAGCCTCAGAAAGAGGCTGTGTCTGGTGACATTAGTCTGAGAAGGAGTTCCCTAACAGAAACCAGAGCCAAGTGTCTGCAAACAAGCTTTGGCTGCCGTAGTCACAACTATCGGATTCATGTGGGAGAGCGCGCCTAGGCGATGTCGAACGGAATCGTAATCACCGTGAGTTGGCTTGCAACGCAGGGAAACGCGGACGAAAACAAACCCAATATAGACAAGAAGAAAACATATCTGGGCACACCAAGCAGCACAGCCGCCACGGCAGCTGCTGCCAGTACCCAAGCTTTACCTGAATGCCTCCCCACAACCGTGCACGTGCCTTCGCCCAGTCCGAAAAGTACTGGGCGCGATCGGTGTCACGTGACATCACCAAGTATTGCCCTAGAGCTGACCTGTTCTTGATCATGGTTTTTTTGAGTTCTTGCTGCCATTCTCCTGACGAGAACTCTGCGGCACGGCATCCTTTGAAGGCGCACGTCGGGTTCGGTTTCCTGCAACAGCCACACCCCTCTGCCCAGCGGCCAGCGAATTCTGCCTCGAAGGCGACATCGTGGCAAAGTGCCACACCTGTCCAAAAGGTTGCAGAAGTTAACGCTGCATCAATGCCCTCGACAGCCACAGACGTCGAGTGCTCGCCAGTGCTCGCATCTGCAGCTTGGAGCACGCGGCGTCCAGGCGAGCCGGCAAGGAACTTTTTTTTGCTCCAGCACTGTCGAAGCAATGGTTCCAATTCCAACAGGCCACCCGTGAAGTCTACGAGCGCCTCCCACCGGAGCGACACCAGTGAATGCGACCAAGTGTTCAGCTGGGCGGCCCTGGAATCGTCGGGATCGATGCAGCACGCCTGAAAGCGCTCTCTCATCGTCGTCCATCGCAACAACTTCTCCACCGAGCGAAGTGCCGAGAGAAGTGGGTCCCACCTTTGACTGGATGACTGGCTGACTCAGTGACTTGTCTCATGATCTCTCTAATCACAGCAAGCACACCAAGTCTGTAAGCTTAGGAAGCCCTGAAATGTAGGAAGGGGACGTGGCCATACACTGCAGGCACTCGTGCAGCAAGTTATCGACCACGTGTTTGACATCAGCCGTATGCCAGCTGTTCGGGAAGAGCCGGGACACCCTGTCCCGCTCTTGCTGCGCACCCTCCCGGATTGCCACAGCCTCTTCGTCGGGCAGGGCTACGACGTTCGCCGGCACACGTGCCTCCTGACAATGGTGGCGGTTCTTACACACAGCCAATTCCATTTACTGGATATCTCATGTCCTGGGTCCCGAATACGAGTCTGCAGTGTGCCATGGCTCAATCACAGAATTGGTGCCCCCACAAACTTTGTTTGCTCAGAATATCAGCTACGATGTCGTAGAGTCCCGAATACGGGCTTGCAAAATGCAACGGCTAAATCTACGACGACAGGGCCCAACCTCTGCAGCCTCGTCGCACAGCGCATTGTACTGAACATCGTCGGTCAAGGCTGGAACAGTTCCTCTCGTCCTCGACTGAAGATCGGCAGCGCGCTCACTTAGCAGCGCCGACAAGTCAACTGCAGGTGCTTGCGCAATCTCGTACTCCACACCTGGGAAACAAGTATGGCCAGTACCTAGGAAACACACACACACACACACTTTATATTTGAACCTTGAAAACTTTAGCCGATGGAAACACACCCACAGGAACCTTGGTCACTGCAATTGTTGATAACCTGACGGCTGTACGAAGACAAGTCGTCCAGATGGTTATCGCTCCACCCAACTTCCAGCAACAATATGTGGATCACTGCATCCAGTTTGTTGGCCAAGCCGGCAGCACCTGCAAAACGCAGCGATTTAGGCAAAACATTCCATCGCAGCCGTAATGCTTTAACGGTTGGCCGACGCCTTTGCCCAGGGTTGCAACAGGCAAAGCGCGGCACTGCACGTCCAAAGTGGGAGCCGGGGTTGAGATGCCCTCATCGTCACCTAACTGCAGCTGCTGCATCGGTTGGGAGTCGCGCAAATCATGCAAGTACCGACGGCTGGAGTCTTCGCTCCTGCTCACGAGCCACCATCTGCTCATTGCACAACCGCAAATGTGACAAACACCCTTGCCTCACACTGAACTCCTGCGTGAGGAGAAAATCTTTCCTTTTCTCCGAAGCATCATAGCCTCAGACTGCATCTGCAGACCTCTCCCTCCTATGTGACTGTGCTGCACTGCGGGACAAGTAGCCCAAAGCGACAAAGTGATTCTTGAATCCACTTTGTCGCCAGAACTGCCTTCTGGCCACCATCAACAATGCATCTAAGCGCAAGCGCGCCCGGGACATCGTCGCCCCTCCTGGGCCTTTGTCGCCCTTCTCATCTGCATCCTTAAAGCAGAGCTGAACATGCCATGCGCTACACCATACGAGACTTCTAGCAGTGTCTTCACAAGCTGCCAGAACTGTTACGAGAGGCTGCTTCCAGAGCAGCGGGCTGTCCAGTCGCAATGACCATGGCAGCCCGCATCGCATTTCTGAAGTTGTCTGCATTTCGCAAATGCATCGCCCTCAGCATGCTGCAACTTGGACCGGGTTCTTAATCTTAACGCGTGCTGGCAACCAGACCGGCAACCATCAAACTCAACTGCAGACAGGTGACAGCAACATGAACTTCCCAAGCTGCGCAATACTGTAAGCAGGTTTTCCACGCCCTAATTTCGCTTCGGGTTTCATCGAAGCAGACACCGTCGAAACCGGCGCATGCACAAGTTGTCCTTCCGGCTCGACAGGCGTCTGCGTCGATGCCTGTCATGGCAGCATTGACAACGACGCTACCATCGCCATAGCAAGCACAACTTCACCACCAACATCGTAATCGCCGTCACCGCTCAAGCGAGTTTCATAAAACCTACGGCCCAGCCTGCAGCCCAGTGACCTCCGATAACAAAAGCATCGCTTCCTGGAACATCCGCACCTGGCGCAACGTTTCGGGGCGCCTGGCTTGGTGAGTTATGACCGTGACAGCTGCTTACAGCACAGTCACCTCGGGGCAACAAAGCATCGGAAATTTTACCTCCGCAGTCTAACAGTCGATAACCTCACACCCTCAGGATTTGAAGGCTGCCTGATACCCGGACCACTGAAACACACACTCCTGAAGCTTGCGCTCATACAACATTTAATACCCAGCCTGCTCTGCCGTACCATGTCTGAGAACTGGCTCTGCAGAGCGCAGCAACAGGTTGTAGCATTGCGACAGCTTGTGCGCGTCCGTTCGGAACGGCACTATCGCCATCAGGAACTCTCAGCGACAAGATGTAGAGTGTGAAGGTTGTGAAAGGCTTTGTAGGGGCTTTCAGATTTTGACATGTTCAGGGCCATGGGGTTTACCAGCACGTGCTAGTTCTACGGTTCTACGGGTTTTGTAAGAGTTGGCGAAGTCATGCGGTGCATCAGCAGGACCTCAAAAGCATACAATGCCACTTCTCGCACCGAATTCAGAAAGTGTCCGCTACATGTAGCTGAGCCCCTGCCGCTGATTTCAGCAGTGAACGTGCAAAAACATGTACCCCTGACATGACTTCAAACTTTCAGAATGCGACAAAGCTTCGAAGGCGAATATGCATATTCGATTCGACTTCAGAATGGGAAGCACTGGTTATCAAGACATGGTCTATGTTTAAAGCTTGCAGCAGCGCAGCAATCTCACCCGCACACAGCCTTTTACTCAAGGAAACTATACAATCTTACAATCAACGGCCAGCAGCATTTGGAACCGGGAGCGGCAATCAATGCCGCCCGAACAAACTGTCTAGATTTCATCTTCCCCAACCAATCAACTATGCTTTCTGGGGGCATCATCCGAGCATCTAAAACGCGAGCATCGATATTCATCATGATTACCTAGCAGCCCGTGCCCGCTTGCATCTGCAGCAGTCATTGTTTGATGCCCGCCCGAACAAACTGTCTAGCCCAACCAATCAACTATGGTTTCTGGGGGCATCATCCGAGCATCTAGAACGCGAACATCGATATTCATCATGATTACCTAACAGCCCGTGCCCGCTTGCATCTGCAGCAGTCACTGTTTGATGCCCGCCCGAACAAACTGTCCAGATTTCATCTTCCCCAACCAATCAACTATGGTTTCTGGGGGCATCATCCGAGCATCAAGAACGGCAACATCGATATTCATCATGGTTACCTAGCAGCCCGTGTTCGCTCACACTTGCAATAGTCACTGATTCAAAAAATAATTTTTCCCGGACGGTTTTTTTATAACCTGAATATTGAAATTTAGCAACCATGACTGGGCTTTTCATCTCC